TCGCCATTCTCCCCGCCAAGAAGGGGATCAAAGGATCTGCTTGGAGGATGTCGAGGATGCGAAGCTAGTGAGGCAGCTGTCCGCGGAGCCGCCAGGATGGACGGCGAATAACACCGTGGAACATGAGGCGTCCCCGATGGCCTGCTAGGTGGTGTTGGAGGCGGCTGGTTGTAGGAGGATGCGCCGTCCCCGACAGCCAAGCCAGGTGGTGTAGGAGGAGGCGTTGTCCCCGACAGCGGGCCAAGTAGTGTAGGGAGGCGGCACCGCCGACGGCCGAGGCGAGGCGAGGCGAGGCGATGGGTTGGGGCAACACAGAGATGGGAGCGGCGGCGTCGTGAAGGTGCGGTGGCTGGAGGCGATTGGGAGCGGAGCGATGATGCAGCGGTTACTTTCCTTTCTTTCTTTCTTGATTGACGTGGGCAGTTTAATTCCTTTTGTGCCAAAGGAAGGTGATCATGGAAGAGAAAGTACTTTCCTTTCTTTCTTGATTGATTGACGTGGGCAGTTTCTTGCCTTTCGTGGCAAAGGAAGGTGATCATGGAAGAGAAAGTTGTGTTTAGTGTTAAACACGTTTAGTCGCTCACCATTAGGACAACAACAACTGTTGGATGAATGCGAATGGATGGCCGAGATCTGTTGGATCTGCCCCACTGGGTCTTTTTATATTGGTATAGATATAGATATAGATATAGATATAGATATAGATTATTTTAGGACGAAGGAGTATCAAACTCAGTGAGAGCATGACTGTTCGGAACAGAGCAGAGAAGAACATGCGAAGACACGAGTCTTCACTTCATGAGCAGAGATTCGTTGCTTCATTTGCTCGAGCAGACTACCACCCATCTCAGCCACCGGCGGCGACCTCAGATGGGCGCACGGGCGCGCCGCGCCGCCCACCACCGCGCTCGCCTCCGCCTCCGCCACTGCCACCTTCTCCTCCTCCTCCCGCTGCTGCTCCTCTTCCTCCTCCCGCCCCTCTTCGCGCTCCTCCTCCGCCGCGCCAACTCCCTGGGCCGCCAGTGCCTACCCCCCGCCGCAGGGCGCCGCCCCCTCGCCGGGCAGCGGCTCAGCTTCTCTATCGTCACGCTCTCCGACGAGGGCCTGTCGGGCCGAGGAGTGCGGGGGCGGTCTTTCCGCGGCGTGCTGGCGGCCACCGCGCGGAACAAGCGCGCCTACGCGGCCGCGCACGGGTATGGCCTCGCCGCGCTGCCCCCCGGCGCGGTCGACCCCGGCCGCCCGCCCGCCTGGAGCAAGGTCCTCGCCCTCCGCGCCCGCCTGCGCCGCCACCACTGGCTCTTCTGGAACGACGCGGTGGGTCGCCGCGGCCGCGCCACCACTCCCCTGTTGGTTTATGCTCTCGGTGGTGTATTGATCTTAATCGGCCCTTGATTTCAGGACACGCTGGTTACCAACCCTGACATCTCGTTGGTAAGTCTGATGCTATTATGGAATCTTGTTCTAACCTCTTGATGTTTAGTTTTGAGTTAATATAATTTTGTTTCTCCTCATTGCTTGTGCTGAAGGAGGAGATTTTGTTCTCCGTGATTGGGCATAGTGATTTTGATGCATCGCCTGATCTCATTCTGACAGAGGATATCAATGGGGTTAATGCCGGTAAGCGAAACTTGCACATTTTTCGGTTTTACTTTATGTTTGTCCAAATCATTTGACAAGCAAAGCAATGGCAACTTCTGTGATATATCACACTCATTAACACGAATGTCTGCTCACCTACTACTGTATCTTCAGAATAAGCATATGATAGTTTAGTATGACTCATTTGTGCAATGAGGCTGATCCATACTTGTGAGCTAGAGCAAACTGATCAAGTTAATAGACACCGAGATTCACGTCTTACTAATATCCTAGGGAAGCATACTTGGAAAGATACATCCATGAAGATTCATTTCACTTTTCTTATAGACAGGAGGTTCAGCACAAAATAAGACAAGGACATCTTATCTGTCAAATATTAACCATGCTCCTTTTTTTGAGGTTAACAGTACTTCATTGATTACTGAACATCACAGCAAAGTTCGTCCCTGATACAATCTGGAACCACACCAAGATAAAAAAGATTAACAGAGTGCTCACAACTACGAGCTAGTTTGTGTGCCGCTACATTCATACCACGCCTGACATGTAAGAAAGAGCATTGAGTAAACCCAGACGCAAGAGACTTGATGTCCGAGACAACAGCGCCCACTCTTGATCGATCTTGAGCCATAGACTTGATTTTGTTCACCATGGCGAGGCAATCAGATGCCAAGACAATTGACGAACAGCCTTCAGATCGACAAACCTCAAGAGCACGTCGGATGGCACGCGCCTCAGCCAACTCCGGTTCAGAAAAGCCTTGAAGCTTCTCACTGCCAGCAAACATACACTCCCCAAGATGATTCCTAGCCACAAAGCCCATGCCCATCCGTCGGATAGAAGGAAACAGCGCCGCATCAACATTCACAGCCACCACACCAGCAGGTGGCCGAGTCCAAATAACAGTTGAAGAAGAGGACTCACGCCTGGGATCGGGTTTAGGCTTAGAACAATGCTGCAACACCATACGGACATAGGCACGAACTTTTGAAGCAGTTCTAGCAGGATGCACTTCGGTGCCATTATTACGTACCTCATTTCTAGCTTCCCAGATATGCCATAGAGTGATGGCCAAGACAGTAGCTTGAAGCTTCGAAGCATGAGCCAGGAAATCGAACATCCATTGACGACCATTAACCATGTCTTTTTTGCACAGCCTGACACTGAACTCCTCTTTAACCCCTTTCCAAACAGAACGGGCGAAGGGACACAGCAGGAAGAGATGCTCCACACGCTCAGTCCGGTTGCAGAAGAAACAGCCATCGTCGACTGGAATTTGACGCCTCACCAGCTGGAAACCCGTAGGTAAACAGTCGTGCACGAAACGCCACAAAACAATCTTCATTTTGTTTGGACAATTGACTGACCAAAGGGCCTTCCACTCCTTTTCTTGCACCTGAATGTTGGAAGCCAGACCCTTGCCCTTTCCACTTGTAGAGGAGAAGAAGTTCTCACTTCGAGTAAGATTATAGCCAGACTTGACTGAGTAGATGCCAAGCTTGTCATGAGGCCACGACAGGAAGTCATCTCCCCCAAAACGACTTATGGGAACTTGCAGAATTTGTTCTGCAATAGGATCAGCAAAGAAGCTTCGCACAAGGTCTTTGTCCCAAGACACCAAAGACTCAGCCATCAAAAACTGAACTGAAGTTTCAGCCGGAATAGGGAGAATCGAGTTGAAAGTTCCAGGAGGGAAACCTGGAATCCAGTTGTCTTCCATAACTTTGATCCGGGTGCCATTTCCTACACCCCACCGAGCTCCCTTCTGAATCAGTTGACGCCCAAAGAGCAAACTGCGCCAAGTGAAGGAAGATGATCTTGTCTTGGTGGCAGTCCAAAAAGCCCCATCAGGGAAGTAGCGTCCCTTTAAGACCCTCGAACACAAAGAGTCGGGTTCGGTCAGGAGACGCCAACACTGACGCGCAAGCATTGCCTGATTGAAAAGTAACAAGTCGCGGAAGCCCATTCCACCGAGGAACTTTGGGGTAGAAAGCCACGTCCAAGAACGCCAATGCATTTTTCGACGGCCGTCTTCGACACCCCACCAGTGGTTGGCGATGTAGGTCTTCATTTGCTCACAAATGGAGACAGGCAGTTGGAAGCAACTCATCACATAGTTGGGGATGGCCTGAGCCACAGATTTCAGAAAAATTTCCTTTCCAGCCCGTGACATCGGCCTATCATTGCAGCCATTGATCCTCTTCCAAACCCGGCCTGGTAAGAAGCTAAAGGAGTTGGTGGCTGCACGACCAATCTTGGTGGGCATACCGAGATAAGAGTCATGGAGAATTTCATTGTCTACCCCAAGGCACCCCTTTACAGTTCCTTTGACACCATCAGGGCAGTGCTTCCCAAAGAAGATCGAAGACTTTAGCAGGTTGATCCTTTGCCCAGAGGCCTCGCAATATTGATGGAGAGCAGAATTCAGAGCCTCCACGCTTCTATTATCGCTCCGTGCGAAGAAGATGCTGTCATCTGCAAAAAGCAAGTGAGATATAGGAGGGCCTTGCATACCATTTCGAATCCCTTGTAGCTCGCCAAGGCTCTCCGTCGTTTGCAGTAATCCAGACAAACCTTCCGTACACAGCAAGAACAGGTATTGGCTTATGGGATCTCCTTGGCGGAGCCCCCTGGACGGCACCACGGCAGAAGTGATTTCACCATTCACCTTCACTGCATATCTTGCCGAGGTAACGCAGCGCATCACAGTTTGTATCCAAGCAGGAGCAAAACCCAACTTCTGAAGACACCCATGGAGGTATGCCCATTCGATGCGGTCATACGCCTTCATCATATCCACTTTGAGAGCAAAGAAAGGCCTCTTGGAATGTTGTTTCCGAACAGTGTGCAAGCATTTATAGGCAACAAGCACGCTGTCCGTGATCAAGCGGCCCGGCACGAAAGCACTCTGAAACTCCGAGACAATATCATTCAGAAAAACCTTCAGTCTATTAGCGAGAACTTTAGATGCAAGTTTGTACAAGACATTGCACAGGCTAATGGGGCGGAATTTAGAGAGGTGTTGGGCATTTTGTACCTTTGGGATTAAGACAATGATTGAGTCGCAAAGTCCTTCGGGTAAAGCCTCGCCACTCAGGAAAGAGCGAATAGCATCGCAAATATCATGCTGAATCAGATCCCAGTGAGTTTGATAGAACATGGCCGGCAATCCATCTGGCCCAGGAGCCTTCGTAGGTCCCATTTGGAAGAGAGCTACCCTGATCTCCTCATTACTATACGGTTTGCATAGCTCAGCATTCATGTTGTCATCCACCTTCCTTGGGATAGCATCCAACACTCTATCCATAGAGGTGCAGTCTCCAGCAGAGAAGAGATCCTCGTAAAAATCATGTACCATCTCTTTCAACCCGTCCTGAGAAACACACTTGGAGCCATCCTCCCGCACAAGAGCCTTGATGCGGTTGGTGCGCCGTCGTGCAGAGGCCCGGGCATGGAAGAACTCCGTATTGCGGTCTCCCGCACAGAGCCAGTCGATCCGAGACCGTTGTCGTGCCATGATTTCCTCACGCTCAAACAATTCACATAGCTGGCACTCTAGCTCACGTTCCTCCTTCAGCCCAGCAGCATTCACGGGTGACGTTCGCAGAGACTTGAGTCTCCTTTCGGTTCTCTGGATCTCACGTCGGACAGAACCAAAGGCCACCTTGCTCCATTCCTTCAGAGCACCTGACACATGGTTCAAAACTGACCATGTTTCATGCAGCGAGTGAATTCCAATGGCATGGGCTTTCCAAGCATTCTCCACTACCTCAATGCGCATCAGAGCAGAAATTGCGGTGCAGGAACCTTTGGTGCGCTATGTGACGGTGACCTCAGCTAAGCTCAAGACCACTGAAACTTATTCCGTGATGTATGAGCGCCTCCCTCTGTATTGCTTTTCATGTGGGCTACTCGGACACTCCTCAATCTTGTGTTCTGCCCCCGCGGAACGCGACGTTAATGGTGACTTGCCCTATGCGGCGAAGAAAGTATGTGCTATTGTTGACCAGATACGAAGATCAAATGGCGCAAAGTCAGGCAATGCCTCGTCATCTGCTGGCTATGAGTCCCAACCCCCTAGTCACAAGGTTCCTTCTGGGGGCTCTCGGTCATTTGCTGCTGGAAGTAGGGCGCCGAACTTCGGCAAGGCTGCTGCTGGAGACGAGGATGGCGAGGTTTCCTCCCCCATCAAAGGTGGTCGGATGACCAGCCAGGGCAGGGGACGCTCCAACCGCGGCCGCGGAAGAGGTCGTTCTGCTGGCACTGGAAAAGAATTGTTTCCTGCTCAGAAATCCAAGAATGGGATGAGTGGGCAGAAAAGAAAAAAGGCAAAGGACCAGGCTACTACTTCTACGGTAGATGAGCAACTTCCTAATGCAGGGAATACCCTCGCGCTGGTGGTCTCGGCAAATGCAAACGATGGGAATCTTGATACTGAGGAGTACCAAGAAAATGACCCCAACAAGAAACTGAGGACAACACTCTCTCGATCGGCGGATTCGGCGGCGGCTGCGGAGCAGCCCCGCCAGACGCAATGAGTATCCTATGCTGGAACTGTCGCGGCCTGGGGTCGAACGCGACAGTGGGCGAGCTTCGCTGGTTAGTGAAGACTTATCGACCCTCGATCCTCTTCTTGTCGGAGACCAAGATGGTGGATCGTAAAGCAAAGAACTTTATGTGGTTTTTGGGCTACTCTGGTTCTTTCGCTGTTAGCTCCGAAGGCCTCAGTGGAGGCTTGGCCCTTTTCTGGTCTTCGCCACATTCAGTTTTGCTGAAGGGTTTCAACTCACATTGCATTGATGTGACGGTCTCATCGGATGATCTGGCTCCTTGGCGGGTGACCTTTGTTTATGGGGAACCAAAGCGCGAGCTTCGTCATGAATTTTGGAGCTTGATAAGGAGGTTGTCCCGGTCGTGGAAGGGCCCGTGGATTTGCTGTGGCGATTTCAACGAGGCTCTCTGCCATGATGAGCACTTTGGGGCTCGTGACCGATCGGATGCCTAGATGGAGCTTTTCCGAAACTGTCTTGATGACTGCGGGCTGGTGGACCTCGGTTTTGCTGGTCCTAAGTTCACCTAGACTAATCGGCAGGACGCGCAATGCAATGTGCGGGTCAGACTTGACCGCGCTGTGGCTAACGGCGACTTTACTGCCATGTTCGAGTTCTATCATGTGGAAAACATAATTACTACCACTTCTGACCATTATGCGGTGGCCATCTCCCTCAACTCCCAGCAAGTCATGGGTGATCGGCCCCCTGTACAACACGAGGGCTATATTAACCATGCTCCTTGTGTAGGACTGTTCTTCATAAGGAGGTCGAAATGGAGTGAGAGATTTTTGGATACATGGTGGAACCATACATCATTTGTACAATTTGGTTCCACAAAAAGTGGGGATAATGCAGCACTGAAGCATATCGTGGATCACTTGTCACCTGAAGAAACACAAGCACACGTCCGCATAGCAAAAATGCAGTGCCTCTTCAATTCATACCCTTGGGTTGCTACATGGAAATCAGTTCACCGCCTGATCTTCCACCCGTCCACTACATGGAAAGGTTTCCTGATATGCTCATTCCCTATTCATTCCATAGATGCTACAATTATTTACATTTGAATGTGAAAGAGGCACTTGATTGATAATGAAGACTGGATCTCCTAAGAGTTCTTTGGATTTATCTCATTATCTACTATGCTCATATTACTTCTTGGGTTTGCCAAAAGTTAACATAGCAGGTGCAAATTGAAGTGCTACATGTGCCTTTTGTGATTGAATATCAGTCCATACTAAGCTAAACGGTGCACTGGTATTTAGAACTGAGCACATGATATATGTGGTTGAAGTGTAATGTTTCTGAATACATGATTGTTCCCACCCTAAAGAAACAAAATCTGAATTAAATCAGGAGTCTGTTACTCATGAACAAGAAAGATGGCATGTACTGTTCTCTGTCAATTCATGTACAGTCTTCTCAAGAAAAACATCATATGTAACATGTCAGTTGTTTATAACCAAGCAGATACTGGGTTGTTCTTGGTCACCTTATTCCTGTTGGCCACTGCTTCACTAATTTATAATCAAATTTTAGTTCTTAACTGAAATAAGCCATTCACACAAGTAAACACTCCCTTTCTTCAGAAGAAGTTTTGCCTGTTATGTATGGCACATATCAGGTGCAAGTATCCATTTCGTGAAAATATGAAAAATTAGGCCTGGATGAATTTAAAAGGTGGACATTAGTTAATCAAACATCTGTTCGAAGTGTCAACTTCAAACTTGACTCGTGTTAGGAGAAACTAAAAGGAGAAGCCCTTGACATATTCTAAGTTATATAAATAGACAAAAAAGACAAAAGTCACCACTGACAACAGTTTTCTCCTTTTTATTTATCATAACACAAATAAATTTGAAATTGAAAATTTAATGCTCTGTTTGATGAATTAAATACTTCTCCTGGATTCTTTTTACAAAACTATCCATGCTGCATGTTTGTTTGGTGCTTGAATCATGATTATTTTTCAAATTCTCACCAAATTCACGTTGTTACTTCATACATTGACATTATCATCTGCACATAGTTGCTCAGTGCATGTTGACTATGCAGGGGCTTATTCAGATGGAGATTTCATGGTCCATTTTGCCGGCCTAAATGACAAGCGAGGCTGGACATCAAGAATTCTTAGAGAGATAACTCACCGATGAGGATAATTACCCCAATTTTAAAACGATCGATGGAGGATCCAGAAGTTTATGTGACTAGCCTGATTGTTTTTGCATCATATTCTGTTGTAGACTGCCATTTTAGTTGGACAGCATGTTCCGTTTCTAATCAGCTATATTAAAAGGTTGTCTCCCACTAACTACTTCTGCAAACCTCTCATCCAGCCATGTTATAAAAAATACTCGACATTCATTTCTGGACAGCTCTTATGCACAGGTGTTTGATTCAGAAGCACAACACAGCCATCTGCCTCCTTTAATACCTTATGCACCGATCCCTCACATCCAACAGATCAACATTGCAACACGAAATTAACTTATCAAGGCTTCTCTGTCATCACCGGGGAATGTGGAGCTGCTGCTGCTCTACGACTTACTATGTGGTTAGTGTAAAAAGTGTCAGCATTGGACCTTGGCATGCCACTGACATTCTTAAGAGGCATCTGTTGTCGTCCACTTCGTGTGTGTCTGCGAATCTGCAGGTATGGTCACTTCCAGTAATCACTCTTGATAGGCAGTGTCCTTTTGGTACTTCCTTGTGGCTGTTGTAGATTTTCCATATAGTTGATCCAGTAGTTAGCCTCTGTCGGTGTCAAAACCGGCGGATCTCGGGTAGGGGTCCCGAACTGTGCGTCTAGGCGGATGGTAACAGGAGACAAGGGACACGATGTTTTACCCAGGTTCGGGCCCTCTTGATGGAGGTAAAACCCTACGTCCTGCTTGATTGATATTGATATTGTGGATGTTTACAAGAGTGGATCTACCACGAGATCAAGGAGGCTAAACCCTAAAAGCTAGCCTATGGTATGATTGTAAGGGTTGATGTTGTTCGTTCTCCTACGGACTAGAGCCATCCGGTTTATATAGACACCGGAGAGGGCTAGGGTTACATAGAGTCGGTTACAATGGTAGGATCTACATATCCGTATCGCCAAGCTTGCCTTCCACGCCAAGGAAAGTCCCATCCGGACACGGGATGAAGTCTTCAATCTGGTATCTTCATAATCTTGGAGTCCGGTCGATGATGATAGTCCGGCCGATGATAGTTCGACTGATGATGGTAGTCCGGCTATCCGGACACCCCCCAATCCAGGACTCCCTCAGTAGCCCCTGAACCAGGCTTCAATGACGATGAGTCCGGCGCGCATATTGTTCGGCATTGCAAGGCGGGTTCCTCCTCCGAATAATTCATAGAAGATTGTGAACACCAGGATAGTGTCCGGCTCTGCAAAATAAATTCCACATTCCACCGTAGAGAGAATAATATATATATATATATATACACAAGTTCAATCCGCTGACTTTTTTGCGGCGTGACGTCACACCACTACCAAGCCATTACGTTTTTTTATTTTACAACCTCAGCGCATTTAGCGAAGCGGTTTCCTTGGCACGTCTTGTCGAAGCAGAGATCGTGTTCCCCCTTAATCCGGGATTCTCATCAATACGAACGTGGGTAACCCAACCGCGCCCGTCGCCACGCCCCCTCTATCGAAGGCGAGTCCCGAACGGTCACGGGGACGGCTCTTGGTATTTCCCTCCTTTATAACGGGACCAAGGCTCGTTTCTTTTCTTCAATCCTCCATCGAATCCTCCTCCCGCCCCAAGTTCCAGCACCTAGAGCTCCAGATTCGAGCGCTTCGGACCTTCAACAATGTCCGGCTCCGACCTCTAGGGCTGGTGGATGCCTTCCTCCGTCATGGAGGAGGACATGCTAAAGATGCGGGAAGCCAAGTACCTGACTTACGAGATTTCGCACAGGTTGCCTGTAGAAGGGCAGGCCATCCCCACCCCCGAACCCGGCGAGTATGTCGTCTTTGTATCCCACCTCCGTCGGGGTTTAGGCTTCCCGATAGATCCTTTTGTGAGAGGGCTCATGTTCTACTATGGGTTGGAATTCTACGATTTGGCTCCGGAGTCCATCCTCCATATCTCCGCATTTATCGTCGTCTGCGAAGCATTCCTTCGCGTCACCCCTCACTTCGGCTTGTGGCTGAAGACCTTCAATGTGACGCCGAAGATGATTGGGGGGCGTCAAGCGGAGTGCGGCGGGGCGGCCGTCAGTAGGAGGGCCGACGCCCCGTGGCCCGCAGGCTCCTTCCAAGAGGAGCTCGGCTTGTGGCAGCAAGAGTGGTTCTATATCACCATTCCAAGGGGCCGCAAACAAAAGCCGCCGCCCTTATTCCGCCCGGGACCTCCACAACGGTTGATGTCGTGGGTCAACCAAGGGCTCAACTGGGGGCCGTCAAAGGACGTGTCCCTATTGCAGGGCCGGATTCGAGATCTCCAGGCGAGGGAGATCGATCTGGTCGTGGTGATGCGGGTTATGCTGATCAGGCGTTATTTGCCCTGCAAACACCGTCCTCTCCGACTATGGGAATTTAATCCAGAGGGACCTCGGATACTTCAACATTTCATGGGTATGACACCCCTGGAGATGTACAAATTATTCTTTGGATCACAAGAGGTGCGTCCGGAACTGACCGAGGATGCTGGCATAAGCCGCAATCGCCCGGATACTCAGGTAAGTAGCTCCGAGTCCGGACACATCATTTGTTTTCCCTTTGGTGGTCCACCTTATGACCAACTTCCTTCTAAACAGGAGTGGATAGCGGGAGCAAAATTAATATGGTGTCCGGCCCCCCTCCCAGAGACCGCGCCGGATTCCACGCTGGTCCGGATGTTGGAGGTTGCGCCTCCAGAGGAAGGCGAAGGGGAAAGTGAAAAAGCTACTACCTCGCCTAAGGAGGCTTTTGAAAGAGGGGGGGATCGAGAATCCCTCCCTCCAAGGGGAGAAGAGGATTGCCTCCGAGGACCTGGGGGCCAAGGCCCCTAAACGGGGGAAGAAATCTTCGCCGGAGGGTCCTGCATCCGGGGAGGCCCCGGCCGCACAGTCTCCCTTAAAGGATCAGCCCTCCAACGAGCCGTAAGTAAAAAGAAAGGATTTTTATAGTAAAGGGCATCCCTATTTGTGCTTCTGAGGATAACTAAAGTTTTTACCTTATAGTTCGGATCTCCGTCCTTCGCAAATGAGCTCTACTTCGGGGGACCTCCGTCCGGATATGGTGGAGAGCGAAACGCCTCCGTCCGGGGCGTCGTCAGATAGGGCGGACGAGCCGGAAGTGTCGTCGAGGAGGGAGCCCCCGGGTTTGGCGAAGCCGGATAGTTCGGCGCCAGCTAGTGTACGGCTGAAGGATCTGCTTGAGAAGGTGTCTATCTCAGAAGATCACCACGCACTAATGAGTGTGGTGATTGAAAGGATTTCATCCGCCGAAGGCGGGTTGCATAATGCCGTCAGTAGTTTGCTGGCGGGGTTTGAGGTACGTAAAAATGACACACCTTTGGACAGTTTTGCATATAGAATGCGCCATGTATGGTTAGTAGCCCCTGAGACTCGGTAGGTTGTCGAAAGCGACAGCGTGCCGAGGATCAAAATTGCAGGTTTAAATTTTCGCCGTACCTATGTAGGTGGCGGATCGTCCGGGGGCCAGCCAGACTGATGAAGTTGCCGAACTAAAGCGGCAACTCACCGTTGCGGATGTGGACATCACGCTGGTCAACAGGCGGCTTGATGAGTCGCAAGGTAAGTGTTCCTGTGCGGTCACTTGGTAAGGGAGCCGAAGCCGTCTCCTTACTACATGTGTGTGAAATGCAGATAGTGCCGCTGCTGTGGAGAGCCTTCGGGCCGAACTTGCTCAAGCCAAGGAGCGGGCCAGAAGGAGTGATGCGGCGGCCTCGAGGGCGGCCGAAGAGTTAGCGGCCGAAAGGGCCGCACAATGTCGAAGCAAGGAAGAGATGGCTGAAATGGCCGTGAAGTTAAAAGATGCTACCGACCGCAATGAGGCTCTTGAGAAGGAGCGCCTGGTGGTGCAAAAAGACCTGGGGAAGGCCACCGCCGAAGCCAAGGATGCCCGCTCTTCAATGCGGGCTATAAAGGAAGAGCTGCGCCAGGCCGGAGACATTGTAGCTGGCAAGCCTTTTCTGCTGCGCCGAAGGTTTACGGATCCAAAGTATGCTCAGCTGGGCCAACTGTGGGGTCTGGAGGACCCTTATATGGACTTAGCAGCGAGTGCGGCGGATGCCGTTGTGCATTTTTGAAGCCAGAAGGATCACGAGACGGAAGAGCTATTTTGGTCTCAATTCCACAGTCCGGAGCGTTCCCTTCCGCTGACCGACCGTTTGGCCGAGTGGGCTGAGCTGAATAGGTTGTCCGGGCTTGCCATGCCGGATATCGTGACCCATGTCTGGCCGGATAGGCCCAAGCCGAAGAGTTACTTTGGCTTATTGCAGCAATTTCTTGGGGCGGTGCCGCATATGGAGGCGATGAAGCGGTCGGCATGCATAGAGGGTGCGCGGATGGCACTCGCCCGTGTGAAGACACATTGGACAGAGATGGATGCCACCGCTGTTGCAACCTCGGGTTCGGACGACAGCCGGTTACCCGCCGAGCACTATTTTGGCGAAGTGCTGCGTGGTGCTCGTGTAATAGAGTCGCGGTGTTCAAAAAATGTTACATTCAAATGAACGTTTTATGTTGTAAAACAATATTTATGATGTAAGCGCCTTTTATACTTGTGCGTTCAAGTAATGTAATATCTCCTATGCGGCCGTTCATGTATACGTGTGTATAACCTGAAAGATGGCAGTCGTCGGCTTCAGCCCCCACGCACAAGGTGCGGGGGTGTTCGCAAAAAATAGCGCATTTTCACACTTAATCCGACGTCTCGGTCCTGTAAAGGAGGTGGTAGCGTAGCAAACGAGGCAACCGGACTATAATGCTTTATCACTTTCACTTAGCCATGGAGTTCGAGGGTGGGACTACGACATAGCCCCTGGGGGCACCGCGCTCTCCGAATTCGGGGCGCGTATGTGCCTGATCGGGAAACGGCCCTTCGTCAATGCGGAGGAATTCTAAACATTCCCTTGGTCGATCGAGTGGTTGACCAGTCTCTCGCTGTATCATGACAATCAGTTTTCGGCTT